CCTTCTTCACCCAGATAGCAACTTTATGGGATAGCTTGAACTGCAATTCTCAAAGTTACTCAGTGGAGGGATGAGAATTTGAATGCAAGTTCCCCCAAAGTCCTACTTGACCTCTCTAAGCAAGCACGGCATCACCTTGGCTCTCCCGCCGATGGCGAAAGGACCTGCCGCGTCTTTGAGGGAACAAACTCTGAGCTGAAGGGAGTCTCAACTTGTCCTGAGTTTGTCTGGCTTCCCTCTGAGGTAGGTAAAGGCTCCCTTTGACGATTTCTGAATCCTTGAGAAAGTCAACAGAACCTGGTGTTTTTATCACTGTTTTCCCAAGTACGATAAGAAGAATATGAACATTAAAGCTCAATAGGCCAGCCACTCAAGACCTGTCAATCATTCACCTCTCTGAAAAGAGCAAAACCTTAAGAGCTGTCAGAATATCTGCTATGGTACACAAACCAAATCTATCTCTAGAAAAATCAGACAGCCTCTTGTTAGCTTCACCCGAAACCTCCTCTATAACAACACACAACAAACATAGCTAAATTAACCAACTACATTTTTCCGAAACAATGTTCCACAGTAGGGTTGTTGTGTTCGGTATATAATTAAAAGCAAAGCTTTGAAATTATTTAATCTGTTAGAAATCCCCCACTCCCTCGGGGGTTCCCACGCCTGAAAAGCGGATCTCAAGCCAGGCCCTCTGGAGTCCTGGTCCCTCAATCGAAGTCCCAGCACATCACATGTTCTTGCTCACTCCAAGGTGAACGTTTTTTTGTTTTATATATATATGAAAAGAAAGGAAAGGAGAGAGAGAGAGAGACCCGCGCCCACCGGGAGAGCATCGCTGCGCCGCGTCCCCGCGAACACCCGCCCGAAGCCGCCGCTCCCGATCAAGGCTCCCGGGCGGTAGCGCGTCCCCAAGGTCGCCTTCCCTGAAAGAGAACGAGAAAAGGGACGGGATTTTCTCTGCCCGGGTTGCAAAACCGACCCTGACCCCCATTCGCACGGACGGACGGGAAAACGGCGCTCCCACGTGCTTCCTTCCAGGCGGGCAGCCTTAGAGGGGGACCAGGGCCCTCGGTTGGGGGGGAGGCTTGGGACCCTCCCTGGACTAGGGAAGCTTAATTAGGCGCCAGGCTTGCTTTAAGAAGAGCTTCTCCACGTGCATTGCACCTTCTTCAGGCGCATGCGTGCGTGTGTGTGTGTGTGTGATAGCCAGTATCCCTCCCTAGACTAGGGAAGCTGATGATATGCACAGGCTTGAATTAAGAAGGGCTTCTCCACCTGCATTGCACCTTCTTCGTGTGTGTGTGTGTGTGTGTTGCGTACCCGAGCAACGAGGCTCTCCTTCGTCCTCCTCCTCCTCGGGGGCCAGAGGCCCTCCTCCTCCTCCTCCTCCTCCTCCTTCGGGAACCGGGCAGCCAAGCGGGGGGCCTCGCGCCGAATGCATGGCGGCCAGCCGCGGAAGAGGGACCCTCCCCGTCCGGGCTCCCCGGACCCGATCCCGCCGGGCGCCCACGTGCCCGCACCGCGCGCGCTCCTCCTCCTCCTCCTCCTTCGCACTCCCGGGGCTTTCTACGAAGATTCCAAAAGCGCACGCGGCGCTGGCCAATAGGAAGGCGAGCCACGGGACCGGGGAAGGCTTAACCAATGAGAAAAAGGGACGATGTTTACTCGGAGCCCCCCCCTCCACGCGTCTGGGCGGGGCCAAGTGGCCAGGGGCTGAAATAAACTCATCGGGAGGGAGGCGGGGCAATGGCTGGAGTCTTCCACCAATCGGAAGGGGAGCCGAACCGCGACGGCAACCAATCAAAGGAAGGCGCGCGAGAACTTTTGTTTCCCGCACGTGGGGGGATGGATTCGCCGGCAGGGGGGGCGCTTCAAATTCCGTTTGCAAAAAAGGGAGACGGGCTGCTCCGTTTTTTACCAAGCACGGTTTGGCGATTTTATGTCTCCGCCTTTTCCCTCACCTCGGAAAGGTGTTACGCATGCAAGTATCGACAGAACCGAGGAGCGAGGGGGGGGGGGGTTATTTCTGCAGCGGGCACGTGCTCCTGCCCAGTGGCCCCCGAGCAGCCCCCTCCGCAAAGGCACCGCTCAAAAGGCACAA